TGAGGGGGTCGGCTGCCCGCATTGTGAGCCCCTCCTACTGCGTACGCTTTATTCCCGGAGGGCTCACTTTGAGGAGGGAGCCTTTGCCAGCGTTCCTCATGGTGCTGGCCCCGCTTCCATCGAGTCGAAGTGGCGGCTGCATTTGTGGGGTTCGCAGTTGGATTTGGCGGAGTTAATGGAGATGGGCGAGTCCCTATCTCCTTCCTCACCCACCAGATCCAGCGCCTGATCTCTGGGTTCGGAAGCCCGTTCTGCGGCTACTTCTTCCCGGGGTGACGGCTCAATGCTCCTCCTGTCTACCTCCGAGGAGGTTGACGTGGAGGATGTCGAAGAGGTTTCTCCCCCTCAATCGCCCCAATATGAGGAGCTAGTGGAGGTGCTTACTCGTGCCGTGGCCAAGTTAAAAATCGATTGGCCCGCCGAGAAGCAGGCCGAGCCGCAGCGAAGCAAGTTGGATGAACGCTTCCTGTGCGCGAAGCCGCCACCTCCATGCCGGAGCCTGCCATTTTTCCCCGACCTTCACACTGAGGTGTCGAGTTCGTGGGTCAGGCCTTTTTCGCCCCGTCTCTTCATCCCTGCCTCAGATTATTATGGTAATGTGGCAGGGCTGACTGAGTGTGGCTATAAGGCGATGCCCCGGGTTGAACAGATGCTAGCTAGCTATCTGTCCCCAGGCATGGCATCGTCTTTAAAGGCTCCGGCACTGCCCTCCAAGCCGCTGCATACAACATCAGCGCTGGTGGGCAAGGGGTACGCGGGTCAGGCCAGTGCGTGTCTGCACACTATGTCTGTGTTACAGGCGTACCAGTCCGACCTGCTTAAAGAGCTGGATGAAGGCGAGGAACTTAGCTCTGATAATATCGCAGAGTTAAAAAAACCGCTGATCTCTCTCTGTGCCACCAAAGAGACCGCCCGCACCATTGGGCGGTCCATGGCAGCTATGGTGGCAGCAGAGAGGCATTTGTGGTTGACCCTGTCTGATATGAAAGCCCTCCAAGCCGCTGCGTACAACATCAGCGCTGGTGGGCAAGGGGTACGCGGGTCAGGCCGGTGCGTGTCTGCACACTATGTCTGTGTTACAGGCGTACCAGTCCGACCTGCTTAAAGAGCTGGATGAAGGCGAGGAACTTAGCTCTGATAATATCGCAGAGTTAAAAAAAACGCTGATCTCTCTCTGTGCCACCAAAGAGTCCGCCCGCACCATTGGGCGGTCCATGGCAGCTATGGTGGCAGCAGAGAGGCATTTGTGGTTGACCCTGTCTGATATGAAAGAGAAAGACAGGGTCTTCCTCCTCGACACCCAGCAGTAGCGAGCAGCAGTCCCCACTGCATACCAGCTCCTCACATAGGGAGACACAAAAACAGAGCGTTGCCACCCGTGTTCCCCGACGTCGGGACCAGAGGCAGAAGCATACTGCAGAGATAACAAACCCACAGCCCACTCACAGAACCATTTCACAGCCTGGGTTAGGTGCTGCCTGATCGGACTAGAGAGAATAAACCCCGAATTCAGATGTGCAGTTTACCCTTGCGGTGTACAAATATGGTTTAAGTCCATTCATCACTGTATGTAAGTGTGGAAAATAGAATCCATGCGTGACTTCAAAATATTATGCAGCAATATGCGTTCTTCAAAAGACAATGTGGGGAATTATTGCAGTAAAAACATAAGCAAAGTTTTATAATTAATAACTAATCACAAGCGTAATTTGCGGGTGGGACGGGACATGCCCCACCACTTTTTCAAAGCCGTTGAAAAAAATATAGCATGCTGAAGGCTTATGAGGCAATTAAAGTAAAAGCATCTCCAATCCATTTTCAGTGGTTCTTAAGAGGATTCGTGAGTTGACGAAATCAATGTTATTTTGAGCGGTGAGTGCACTTTAATGCCTCTGATTTTGCATTTATGAAATTAAACATATGTCTGTGGATGGTTACATTAGGCCTACTCAAGGCAAAACACGTTGGAAATATGCTCTCCATAGCGCAAGCGCAAACACAAATGCTCACTGCTCGTTTGCAAAATCTGTTTCGGCAGTGTTATTGTAAGGAACCACCCAAATTGGCTTAACGACAGAATCCAATTGGTGGGCGAAGGTATAATGAGCGTTCGGTCTTTTACTTGCGCTTCTGCAAAGTTCACTTAATTTATCAGGATTTAGTTTCAATTTAGTCTAGCTCTGTGCTTAATCTGACTCCAATTTCAAGTGATCATTAAATTTAGACTGTATTTTTAATTAACTTGATCACAAATATCGATTATTCAAGGACCCGGCATCGCTTAGCAATTCAAGTGGCCAACAGTGAACGCACGGACACAAACTCGCCAGTTCTCTACTTACTTTGGTACTTAGAGGATACAGGGTAATTATTACCTTTAACCAGGTGGTATGCGCCCTGCTAGCACATAACTTTTTTCTATAATCATGAAAACTGTAACTTGTTAAGCCAGTGATAATCAGAAATCAAAAGTTCCCTAATTATAAGCCCCCTGCTCCTTTCATTGGTAGCCTACATGATCTATCCTGGACGCAGATTTGCGGAAACACCAGACTGCACTTTAATCTTGAAATAATGACTTCAGAAGAGATCAGAACAAATCAAATCTAACAATGTATTATTTGTCAGGTAAAAATGTATCATCCCAATTAAATCATTAAACAAAGAGGGGAGAAGGGGGTCATAAATGAGCAAGGAGATAAGTTTGGTCATGGTGGTGTCATTTTACCCTCTTTGGAGATGCTCATTTCATACTGCCGCTGCAGTGCCCTGCTCATTTGATACTGCCGCTGCAGTGCCCTGCTCATTTGATACTGCCGCTGCAGTGCCCTGCTCATTTGATACTGCCGCTGCAGTGCCCTGCTCATTTGATACTGCCGCTGCAGTACCCTGCTTAATTTGATACCACCGCTGCAGTGCCCAGCTTAATTTGATACCGCCGCCGCAGTGCTCCACTTAATTTGATACTGCTGCCGCAGTGCCCTGCTCATTTGATACAGCCGCCGCAGTGCCCTGCTCATTTGATACTGCCGCTGCAGTGCCCTGCTTAATTTGATACCACTGCTGCAGTGCCCAGCTTAATTTGATACCGCCGCCGCAGTGCTCCACTTAATTTGATACTGCTGCCGCAGTGCCGTGCTCATTTGATACAGCCGCCGCAGTGCCCTGCTCATTTGATACTGCCCCCGCAGTGCCCGGCTCATTTGATACTGCCGCCGCAGTGCACTGCTCATTTGATACCGCCGCTGCAGTGCACCGCTCATTTGATACCGCCGCCACAGTGCCCCGCTCATTTGATACTGCTGCCGCAGTGCCCCGCTCATTTGATACTGCCGCCGCAGTGCCCCGCTCATTTGATGCTGCCGCCGTAGTGCCCTGCTAATTTGATACTGCTGCCGCAGTGCCTCCATTCGTCGTTTTGAGACTAATGGCTTATTCAGCATTGGACAGGGCTCCCTCTTCCGGTGCAGCAGACTCCCTTTGGTCACAGTGAGAACCCTCCATCCATCGTTTCGAGCCCCATTTGCTTTTTCCGCATCGGACAGGGCTCTCCCTTCCGGTGCAGCAGAGCTGCAGCTCCCTTCGGTCATAGTGAGAGCCCTCCATCCGACGCTTTAAACCACGCCACATATTCAGCTGCAAGAGGGACTCTCTCTTCCGGTGCAGCAGAGCTGCAGCTCCCTTCGGATGCAGCGAGAGTCCCTCACCTGGCCTTCCATCGTGCTCCTCATTCGGCAACAGGTAGGGCTTGCCATCTGACACGGAGAGTCGCAGCTCACGTTCAAGCACCACACGACCCCTCCTAGTCGCCCTGCCGCCTCCTTGCACACCCTACTTTTCTTCATGGCACGCATATTTTTGGGGGGCTACTTAGTTTTCTCTCCGGCTGCTGTCTCATGCCATTAGCTTCTTTTGGGGAGTTCTCTGGGTTCGGGCTTTAACCCGAGCTCGGAGCCCTCCCTCTGGACAGCACGCCAAATATGCTACTAATTGCTTAATCACATTATATGTTAGTGTGAACTCATGAAACCACTTTCTTAATAAATCAAATACAATATCATGTGTGGTGTCTTTCTTAATAAACAACTTTCTCAATAAAACAATACCAATAACAACTGTATTTGGTTACAATACAAAAGTATTACATAAAAAGTAAAGGCATACTTGCAATATGACAATTCCTTAATTTCCCCTACAACATGCAGCAGTAACATATTTGCCTGTATGAGGCCTTCCCAGAAAATAAACAAAATAATACACCCTTCGACATAATATATTAACTAAATGCATTAAACAATGAGGCAAGGTAATTGTATTCTTATGCATATTACACAACAATACAGATATCTTTATTGCACCGTTTTCACAAAACAGTTCATTGAACAAATGTTAACCAATCTAGCACTAATACAGCTGTATAAAGTTTGAACTTCATTAGTTTGAACTCTGGTACTCTGTAAACCCTAAAACTGCTTAACAGAATTCATTTTAAATTAAGTACACTATCAATTTCTTACACGGTGCAAAGTATCTACATCAAGAGTCTAACAAAGTCACCTCTAAAAACAATTCACAACATTCCACCAAACAAAACAATGTACTAGCACTATGAACAGCTGTTTCAGAAATCTAGTACATTTAGTTCAAGAGAGATTTTTAGCTTTGGCTGTTTTGTCACTAATGTTGAATACTAAGACATAACAAAGTGTATCAATGCGCACACACACACACACACAATGATTTTTATACTGTACAAACTGTTTTCTATCCCATTACCCTAATATTACCTCTCACACAAAACTTTCTGCATTTTTAGATTTTCAAAAAACTTCATTCTATATGATTTATAATCTGTTTTCCTCATAGGGACAAAACATGTCCCCACAAGGTCAAAAATTACTTGTATTACTATCCTGGTGAAGACATTTGGTCCCCATAACATAATGAATACCAGGTACATACACACACAGACACACACACTTTTAATTCTCACAGACCTTTCAAATCAAGGCATTGGGCATTTCCCGTTTTTGCAACATTTAGCTGATCCTCTGAAGACTGTAGTCATTCTCTGTGTCCATGGAGCTGCTGTGTCCAGAAGAAGGGTATAAATCACGCTTCACCAGGCGATTGGCCACCGTTACCAAGACCTTCTTGTATTGCTGCCGCAGGAGGGAGTAGGCAAAGGGATCTGAAGCTGCCTTGCTGTATGTTAAACACTTGCTGATAATACCCCAGTACCGATTGACATCTACAAATGGAAGCAGCTCAGTCAACCTTGGAAACAGAGATGAATCAATTAACATCATAGCTGACAACATCTAGGCAAGAGCCACCTAAAACTCAGTAATTATTTACCATGACTTCTTAATCAATGAATATCTTTTGTGTGCTAACTGATCAGCAAAACTGATTACGGCATTAAGTATAGGGCAAGATGGTGTGAGATGCCCCCCAGCCACCATAATGTTTTCTCTTTAGCACAGATGGCACAAAATCTCAAGGGTTTTTAATTTTTTTAATTTTGTCATTTCATCTGATTATCAATATTTGTGAAATTTAGTCAGTCTAAACAGTTTTGAGGTTAACTGATCTAATTTTGTTTCTTTGGAAAATTGTGATCTTTGTCATTATATAATGTTAAATATAATGTTTTTGTGTGTGTGTGTGTGTGTGTGTGTGTCTTTGTTAATGAGGGATTTGTGGACACATCTATGTTTTTGGATTTGCGGAGTGAAAGTTGTAAATTTTATTTTGAAAAAGATAAAATTAGACCCCTGGGGCAAGATGACCCCCCAGAATTGGTACAGAAAGCCCCAAGTGGCATGTTGCTACTAGTGTTATATTTTTACATTTAATGCTATTGTAATCACTGGGGTTATTGTTTAATATTTCCATGTACATTTTAGACATATTTGCTTTCATTAAAACTTATTGGTTAATTGAATGTAGTCATTAAATTTGCATTGTTGCTATTATGACATATCTTATCATTAAAATATGGGCAATTAAATATGTAAATATTCAAATTATTGTACATGAGTGATAGAATAATTTTACATTTCAGATGCATCTCTTTTACTGAGATTCTACTTTGTCACCAGTTATTCAATTATTCAACTAAATTGTCTAAAGTAAATTTCAAATAGAATAGTTGATTTAGTATGTTACATTAGTGACACTATAACTAAAAATAAGAACTTAGTTTTGACACTAAAAATATGAAATATTAATAAGAATTATTTCAAAAGTAATTTATATCGTTAGATCATGCCTCCACACTAGAAATATCAGATCCAGCCCTGGATGCCATATCCTGTCAGAAAATATTAATTTTGTCTGGTAACATACGCCTAACTAGTCAGCAGAGTTGTCTATACCCAAACCCGTTAACAGCAATTATGTCTGGTTCCCTAAAATCAGTGTTTTGTCTGGTATCCAAAACTGTAATAATACATGGCGTTATTTTAATGACAAATGTCCAGAGCGCATTATTGTAGCGCGAAAGCACATTAATATAATGCGCGAATCTCTCTGCTCGCACGCAGATTTCCTTTGCTCTCGCACAAAACCGGACGCGCGCGCTCAGATGCACGCTTAAAACGTGTCTCTCCTCTCACTCAAACTGTCATGTGCGCTCGCAAATCTCTCTGTGCTCATGCGCTAGATATGAATTATTTTCGCACCTGAATAACGTTGTCAAATGTTATTAACAAATCAGATTTCACAGATATAATGTCTGTAATTTCTTTATAATTTAATACTACTAAATCATAATAATCCAATTTTAGAAATGAATCGGGTGCTTGGATTATTTGTAAATAACCTAGTTTAACAGTTTTGTCAAACTCCTCTAAGCGATTTATCTAAACACAAACAAAAAAATAGGCTTATATGATTCTTAAAGTTCATGTGGTCATGAACTTGTGCACTTGAGATTGATATATATACAAACCCGATTCCAAAAAAGTTGGGACACTAATTGTGAATAAAAACAGAATGCAATGATGTGGAAGTTTCAAATTTCAATATTTTATTCAGAACACTGTATATATCTTCTGATTAAGGACAGATTTAGATAAGGGTCAGATGCACTATTCCCTATACATAAGATGTGGAGACCAAATATAACACTAATGAATTTCCCATATTTGTCATAACATTACTACATTATATTATATAGGTTTAATGCATTTGCAGACAATGTGATTACATGTAACTGTAATATAACTGTATATTCACTGTTTGAGAGTGCCATTGAATGTGTAGCTAATATAAAGTGGATTTTCATGAAAAAAAAAATCTAACTAAAATCAGAACTGAAAACAAACACTGGATTTAGAAAAAGAAAAAAAAACTCCCAATAAATGTCCAAATAGTGATTCTATCAGAACATTTATTGTGTTATATCTTGCATCATTTACGTCTATTTTTGCATTTGATGTTGATTTGATAGGAATTGTTACTATTGCCATCATACCAACTGAGAATTTGTTGCAATGATTTTAAATTCAGTTGAGGTATCTCACATATTATGACATAACATTGATCTTTTAAATGAAGTCTTTAGAGCCATAGGCTATAATATGTTGTTTTTAGATAAATTGCTCAGAGACCAACCAGTTGGACAGAGCCCAGCAAGCAATAGCCGTCATTTCAACGTCTCGGTTAAGTATAGACCTGATATAGTCCGGCTTCTAGCCCAAATAACCTTGAATTTGGTTTTATGTAGTTTTTTGGCAAAATAACTTGTGAGATGTATGATATTCCATCATGTAACAGCGTTTACAAGGTGTTTGGTTTCATTTCTTTGACATGTTCAATATTCATGTTCAATAGTCTGTGCGTAGCCACGATTTAGCTTGTAGTCAGAGCGGCTATCTGTAGCCCACTTATAGTCAAACCTGATTCACTAGGGTTTTTGGCCAGGCAGCGCATGAGATGGTTGATATCCCATCATGTTTGCAGTGTCAATAATATCTACAAAGATATAAGTGTAATTTCATGACATGGTCTATGTAGCCACGATTTAGCTCTAAATTGGACGGGCTACGTGTAGTCTGCTTTTAGCCCACCTGGCGAAACCGAGGCAATCTGTGGTCTAATTTTAACGGCTTGGCTATAGCCCTATACCAGTAACCAGACCAGCGATGAGCATAGCCAAAATAGCCTTAAAATAGTTTACATGTAATTTTCGCCCACGCAGCTTTTTATCAAATGCAAGTAAACTTTTGTATCATTTAAATTAGCATTATTTTATATTTTATTTAATTATTTTACAGCATTATTAAATATAGCATTATTTATGATGCCAAAAAGAATGCTAATTTAAATGATATACTTGCATTTCATAATATGATGTCATGCATCCCGCAAGCTGTTAAATGTTACATTCATACACATTATATGATATTATTGATATTCGGCTGTCTTTCATTTTATAAATAAAAATGCAATTACAATTCCCAACCGCTAGATGGCAATTGTAGCCCTACTGAGACATGACTACAGGCAACGTTAGAGATCAGTGTTGTGTTTTGAATTTTTTTTAGACGAGAGAGCACTAAGTTTCCCTTTCATGGGAACTTTGAACTGCGTCCTCTAGGGGTCACTATGGGGAACGCCTCGTCGTGACCCGTGTCTGAAGCATACATTGAAAAAACACCAACTCGTTGGCCGGCGACAGCCATGACGTCACTACCGGCGCTATACTATTTATATATAGTATAAATAGGCGCCGGGAGCACACATCATTCTCTTCTTTGTC